ACTAGAATCATAACACCGAAATCTCTTTTGTCTCTCATCGTAGCCATGAAAAACACATAAGGTTGAACGAGCCGAGAGTTTGGTACGATTAACACTAGGTGGCAGAACAAAACAGGTACATCCAAATACACGTAAGGAGAAATAGTCAGATGTTTTACTACTTAATTTTTTAAAAGGTGAGACATTAGAATCAAGGATTATAGGAATGCAATTAATCAAATGAATTGTTGTAAGAACTGCTTCTCCCCAAAAAGAGCTAGGGACACTGGATGACAACAATAAAGAACGAGCTGTCGCAATAATATGACGATGTTTCCGTTCAGCTACTCCATTCTGAGCAGGTGTGTCAGTACAAGAAGACTGAAAAACAGTATCATCAAATTTCAACAAATCACGAAAAACGCTAAAAGAATATTCTCCACCTTGATCACAACGGAAACATTTGATGATATAAGAATATTGAGTACGCACCATAGCACGACAGGTAGTAAAAATGGGAAAGAACTCAGACCTACGTGTCATTAGATACACCCAACAATATCTGGTATAATCATCAATAAAAGAAACATACTATCAAGACTCTTTTTTAGTAGTAATTGGAGTTGGTCCTCAAATATCAGAATATACAAGATCAAAAGGTACAAGAGAACGAGANAGGCCTGTTTAAGACTATATAAAGTCTTGTGGACATCTATACTAAGGAAGTTTGCATAGCAGGCTACCTTTTCTGCAAGAAAGTTCGACATCTGGTTAAGGGATCATGACTTCTTTATTTGCACACATGACCAGGACTACAAGGCAATCCAAGAGGAGTCATATAGACTTCTTCAGATAAATCACCATGAAGAAAAGTGTTTTTCACATNGAAAATAATAAACTATGATATAATGTACCTTGTAGATATCTAAGAATTTGAAGAACAGCAGACCAATAAAGTGTAGTAGGAGCATTAATAAACTGACTAACCACATGAACCGCATAAGTAATATCTGGACGAGTAATAGTAAGATACACCAAACTCCCAACAATAGTACGATATAAGATAGGATCAGACAGGAGAAAACCATCAGAGGAAGTATAACGAACATTAAGCTTCAAGGGTGTGTCAACAGTTTGAGTATCCGATAAGCAGGCTCCTTGAATAACATCTGAGACATATTTTGACTGAGAAAGAAGATANTTGTGCGAATCGTGGCCATCTTAGCCACTGGAGCAAAGGTCTCATTGTAGTAAGCCCATACTCTTGAGCAAATTCCTTGGCCACTAATCTAGTTTTGTACTACAAAACCACCAGATTGAGTTTTGATTTTATAAACCCACTTCCAACCAATGGGGCGTTTACCAGGAGGTAAATGCACCAACTCCCAAGCTCAAGTATTATGTAGCACAGAAAGCTCATTATCTATAGCCTATTGCCAAAGAGGATCAAATACAGCCTCCTTATAGGAGGTTGGTTCAGACAGAGAATGTATAGAAGTCAGGAAAGAACNTGAGGCCTGTTTAAGACTATATAAAGTCTTGTGGACATCTATACTAAGGAAGTTTGCATAGCAGGCTACCTTTTCTACAAGAAAGTTCGACATCTGGTTAAGGGATCATGACTTCTTTATTTGCACACATGACCAGGACTACAAGGCAATCCAGGAGGAGTCATATAGACTTCTTCAGATAAATCACCATGAAGAAAAGTGTTTTTCACATCCATCTGAGATAGGCTCCATTGACGAAAAGCTACCACAACAATTACTGTGTGAATCGTGGTCATCTTAGCCACTGGAGCAAAGGTCTTATTGTAGTAAGCCCATACCCTTGAGCAAATTCCTTGGCCACTAATCTAGTTTTGTACTACAAAACCACCAGATTGAGTTTTGATTTTATAAACCCACTTCCAACCAATGGGGCGTTTACCAGGAGGTAAATGCACCAACTCCCAAGCTCAAGTATTATGTAGCACAGAAAGCTCATTATCTATAGCCTATTGCCAAAGAGGATCAAATACAGCCTCCTTATAGGAGGTTGGTTCAGACAGAGAATGTATAGAAGTCAGGAAAGAACAAAAATTAGAAGAGTAACAAAAGTTGGACCAACCAAACATGTCAGGAGATTTCTGAGTGCGCTGAGGGTAACGGAGAGTGTGATCCACAGTGTCAGAAATTGATTAGGAGCCAAGAGGTGTAAATGAATGCACAACATCTGTGGAGGAGACAATGGGAGTCTTGCGAACATAAGTATGCACAATCGGGGGACGGGTAACAGACAAATCAGGCAAAGAGGAAGAAGAAGAAGAAGAAAAAGAGGGAAGATTAGTCATAGTCATATCACAAACATAGGAATCAGGAGAAACATTAGAGGGAAAGGGATCAAGATAGATAAGATCAGATTTATGCAGAAATGAAGAAATAAAGAACTAGATGGAATAGAGAAAAAATGAATATACTCCATAAAGACAGCATGACGAGAAACATAGAGTTTTTGCATACTAGAATCATAACACCGAAATCTCTTTTGTCTCTCATCGTAGCCATGAAAAACACATAAGGTTGAACGAGCCGAGAGTTTGGTACGATTAACACTAGGTGGCAGAACAAAACAGGTACATCCAAATACACGTAAGGAGAAATAGTCAGATGTTTTACTACTTAATTTTTTAAAAGGTGAGACATTAGAATCAAGGATTATAGGAATGCAATTAATCAAATGAATTGTTGTAAGAACTGCTTCTCCCCAAAAAGAGCTAGGGACACTGGATGACAACAATAAAGAACGAGCTGTCGCAATAATATGACGATGTTTCCGTTCAGCTACTCCATTCTGAGCAGGTGTGTCAGTACAAGAAGACTGAAAAACAGTATCATCAAATTTCAACAAATCACGAAAAACGCTAAAAGAATATTCTCCACCTTGATCACAACGGAAACATTTGATGATATAAGAATATTGAGTACGCACCATAGCACGACAGGTAGTAAAAATGGGAAAGAACTCAGACCTACGTGTCATTAGATACACCCAACAATATCTGGTATAATCATCAATAAAAGAAACATACTATCAAGACTCTTTTTTAGTAGTAATTGGAGTTGGTCCTCAAATATCAGAATATACAAGATCAAAAGGTACAAGAGAACGAGAATTACTTTTATTGAAAGGTAATGCAATAAATTTAGCTAACTTGCAGCCACTATAATCTGAAATATCATGATACTCTAAATTACCTAAACTACCAGTAGAAGCTAGAAATTTTATACAAGAATGAGAAACATGACCTAAACAAAAATGCCATAAATAAAAACTAGACGATTTTAGACTCATTTGAAAAGAAGATAAATCAATAGTAAGTGCAACAACTTCAGGGACATGAAATTCGTCCAACACATATAACCCTCCATTTCTATGGCCTGTCTCAATCAGCTTCTTGGACTGTGGATCCTGCACAATACAACTAGTAGAAAAAAAGTAAACAAAGAATCTTGAATCAAACAATTGACTAACAGATATTAAATTTAAAGTAAGTTGAGGACTATAGTAGACATCAAGAAGTGTAACCTGGGAAGACACGATAGTTCCAACACCAGCCAAAGACATTTGGGTGCCATTGGTTGCAAGGACACATATAAAGGGAAGGGAAACAATAGAAACAAATAAAGAAGAATTATTAATCATATTATGGGTGACACCTAAGTCAAAGACCCAGGCAGTTCAAAATATACTTGAAGGACCCGTAGTAAATGAACCTGTGGAAGGAGAAATTAATAAGGCCCCTGGTTGATGAAGGGAAAAAAGTTTTTGCAACTGATCAGCTATCATAGTCATGCTGGGAGTTGATGGGAGTGTCTCCTCTGCTGGTGAAATAGTTGCGGCTGTATGACAATCTTTGGACTTAAATGACTTTTGTAAGGCCCTTTTAGCATTTTTGTTCACCAATTTAGGACATTGAGCCTTCCAATGACCCTTCTCACGACAAAAACTACACTTATCTGAATCAGCTCAACCCCGATATTTAGTCTGTGAGTGAGAAGTCTCTCTGGATGGTACAATTAGTACAATCTAATTGGGCAATGGAAGAAGACCCTTTGTAGAAAGAGTCTTAAGACAGACTTCTTCAGCCAGAAGTTCATTCACTACTGCATCAACTGTGGGAAGTGGAATACGATGAAGAATAGAACCATGAAGGCCCTCAAAGTCATCTCTAAGGGCCATCAAAAATTGTACCAACCGCTACTCCTCCCTAAAAGTACGATATACTATATGAGTACTCAATTTAGCAAGTTCAGCTAGTGCTAACTGATCCCAAAATCCAATTAACCGAATAGAACTCCTATACGGTCTTATCACCCTGACGTGTAGCTCAAATTTCATGCTCAAGTTGATATCTCTTTGCAAAATTGGACTATCACCCGTATGGTCTCTTCGCTAATGCTAATATACTAGATTACTCTAACAGTATTAACCTGGAAATATTTGGAAACCAGTCCACATACAACTCATACACTCACAGCATTATTCATAGGACTTCTTTCGCACCTCAACACATGAACAAGCTTTTGAAACTTGAGTATCAGCCACAACAAGAAGAGAATAGTGTAAAGTAGTACAACAAACATACACAACCCAATTCAAGTGTAGTTTGATTTTCTTTTTCCAGCATTTCTGGGGGTTATCATCCTTTTTGAGAATAGATGAGTGAGTCTTATAGTTCCAACTGTAGTACACATTGCAAGCACTGGCAGCCACATGATAAACTTGTTATTGAGAGGAAATCCGCTTAACATCATCAAAAGTAGAATACTTAATAATGCTATGAGACACACTGTTAAAACCTAAGAAGAGATTGAAGTCCACTGGGTATAGAGTGGCTATAATTGAACTACCGGCCTCATGTTTGTCCGAGTCTTGCCAAAACACCCCCTGGTGGGTTCAATCCCACTTGGAAAGCCAAAGTTGCTATCACAGTTGCTACCACTATCAAGTTCCCACATGCTGATTCCAACCACTTTCTATCATTCTAGAGAGTCTCCAACCAAACAAATGCCATTGATCGCCATGCTCCGCAGCGAAATGTTCTGTGATGATGTCCTTGCTCTAGTATTCTTTGGGAAGTTCACTGACGCTGGTGCGAGATCAGCTTGAAGACCCCTGGCTCTTTGCACGCCAGCCTCCAACATAATATCTTGGATTTTCATACCTTTTAAGTCTCTTGGACAGTGCTCCAACACATCCACAGCGGTAAAACCATTCCCATTCGTGGAATTTACCTTCTCTCTGACACCCGTTTTAGAGAGCAAGAATTTGATGGTCTGCACAGAGCATCATCAAGGGGAAAACACATTAGAATTGAATGCTCTGCTTCCTTATATATCCGATAAACGACCTTTTGAATGGAATGCAAAAAAATCAAGAAGTCATTAATGTATGTACCTCCTCCTGTTGGAGCATTGCAGCAAGATGCAAGATGGTGTTGCCATTGTTGTCCTTGGAGTGGACAAACTCCATATAATCGCTCAGCAATTCCACCACTGACATCAAACGACTATGTTTAACACACAAATGCAAAATAGTCTCCCCTTCCTCTGCCTTCACCCTAGTCGATTCCGGACAGGCTTGAACCAGATGTGGTATAACCTCGTGTCGCCCTTTCATTGCAGCTAAGTGGAGAGGGAGGTGAACGTCCAAATGAGTCTAACTCGGTAGCGAGTTTGGGCTTCTATTCAAAAGCTCTCGTGTGAGATCAGAGTGGCCACGCAAGGCTGCCATGTGTTAAGGAGCTTCCCCCATCCAAGTAAGTGAGATTCTATTCTATTCAGAATGAGTTCATCTTCTTTCACCAAAGCTTCTAAAGAGGGTACACTACAACTAAGTGATGCTTTGTAAAGCTCTCTCCATGGAAATTAAGAAACACAAAATGATAAAGAAAAGGACGAGGAATTTTTTATTTCTCTCATCCGTACACAATAGCTTACATGTACATTTATACAAGCATTTAGTCACAACAAATTCAACTATTTGCAGCTGTGATCAATAACAAGGAGACTAAGATTAAGCATTAATTCCGCATTAGCCGAATGTCGGTCCTATGAGGAGTGCTATGATCTTATATAGCAATACTATATGTAGAATTAAAAACTAAATTTGATAACTATAACCATTAATTTCACTTCACTGTGAATCTTATTATTTATTAGAAATCACTATTTATTTAATAATTATGATTATCTTTTTAAATTTATGTCGATCATGTAATATCTTGGATTATTGGCAGCAGAGATTGCCGTGGACCCAAGTGTGGGGTGCTAATGATGTGACGTTAGTTTTGCTGAGCTGCAATCAATTGAAGCAGCAATATCAAACTCTTATGCCCCAACTCTCTTTACTTCACTCATCCTCTCTCTCCCTCCCTCCCCCACTCACACACATATATGGCAATACCCATCAAACACNCATGCCCCAACTTTCTTTACTTCACTCATCCTCTCTCTCCCTCCCTCCCCCACTCACACACATATATGGCAATACCCATCAAACACCTATAATTGAAGGGTCAAAATGCCATATTGAAGATTTTATTTGTTCTTTGGATTCTTATGGCCTTACCAATATCAAAAAGAAGATAAAACCAGAAGCCCAATCAATTTATTGCCTAAATAGGCTAAGAATATGTCCAAAGTTGATGGAAGAGAGGTGTTCCTTTCTCAATAATGACAAGCTTATAAGAATCGTCTAAGTCTAAGTGGTGAAATATTTTGGGGGTGTTCTCATGGAATATAAAGTAAGGCTCTTGATAAGTGAGCTGCTTATTCTTAAGGAAGGAATAAACGCACTTAAAAGTTTAGGGAGAATTATACGGAGACACCCTGAGGTTTGTTACTTAAACACTTAGATCTCTTGATATTTAAAATATTATATATAAGTCCCTTAAAATTTGTACGCGTGTACCATTTAGACCCCATATCCATTAATAAATTATACTTAGACCTCTTGAAGTTTGTAACTATATAATACTTTTACCCTTTAAGTTTAAAATATTATAACAAAAAATATTCAAAGATAGAATATCAAATATTTTAAATTTTACAACCAAAATTCATATTCTATTGTATCATTTATTAAAATAAAATTAAAAATAGAAATTTAATTTTTTCTTAAAAAATTATAATTAATATACAATTACACTATATATTAGAATAAAATTAAAAAAAAATAAATAAGGGGTCTAAGTCATTCATAATAGAACATAAATTTTACATCCAAAATTTATGTTATATTATGTCATTTATTGAAATAAAATCTAAAATAAAAATCTAATTTTTTTAAAAAAAAAATTATAGTTAATATATAATTATACTATCTATTAGAATAAAACTAAAAAATTAATCAAGGGGTTAAACTATAATGAACACAATATCTTTTAACTTTAATTAGGGTAGTTTAGTATTTTAATTTGGTCATTTAAACGACAAAATTAAATTTTAATAGACAATATAATTGTATGCTAACTATGATTTTTTAAGAAAAAATTGAATTTTTATTTTTGATTTTATTTCAATAAATGATATAATAGAACAAAAATTTTAATTGTAAAATTTAAAATATTTGATATTTTATTTTTAATTGAAATATTTTTGATCTAAGTATAACATTTTAAACTTAAGGAGTCTAAGTAATATATGTTTACAAATTTTAAGAGATTTTGGTGTAATTTATTAATAGATATATTTACAACAGGAGGAGTCTAAATGTTATGCGCATACAAACTTTAAAGAGTCTATGTGTAATTTTTCAAAATAATTCTCCCTAAAGTTTATACAATACAACTGGCCGGGGAGAACCTTTCTGGAACGAATACATTGGTTGTATCATTGTATGTTCACAGTGCACATGATAGTATCCAGATTAAACCATACAGTGTGATGCTAAAGTTTCATATAGAGTCCCTGATTGGTGTTCCATACCATACCATACCATACAGAATCACCAGAGTCACAGCTTGAAACCTTATCAGCAAGAAAGCTCTGTATTTCTTTCTTCAAGAATGCTACTCTGTACATCCAAATCTAGCAAAACCACCCAATTATCTCTCCCAATTTTTCTCACGACGCCAAATTCGGTGCTTTTAGTACTTAGAATGTGAAGGACAATTTAACAATTTTTTAAGTTATATAAGGAACGACACTGTTGTTCAAAGTAAGTCTAGACCGTGGACCATTTCTCAATGACAATCTATTAAAGCTTATTTTTTTTATTCTTTGCCTTGCTCGGTTTTTGATTTTATTTCAATGCGTGTTAGCTACCTAATTACAAAATTTCTGCCCATCACTAGAGGATATTTGCTGATCCGGCTTTGTAGCTTATAACAATTAACACTTTCAGTATTCTTGTTTTTTCTTTTCTTTTGTGTTACTAATNACCACCCAATTATCTCTCCCAATTTTTCTCACGACGCCAAATTCGGTGCTTTTAGTACTTAGAATGTGAAGGACAATTTAACAATTTTTTAAGTTATATAAGGAACGACACTGTTGTTCAAAGTAAGTCTAGACCGTTGACCATTTCTCGATGACAATCTATTAAAGCTTATTTTTTTTATTCTTTGCCTTGCTCGGTTTTTGATTTTATTTCAATGCGTGTTAGCTACCTAATTACAAAATTTCTGCCCATCACTAGAGGATATTTGCTGATCCGGCTTTGTAGCTTATAACAATTAACACTTTCAGTATTCTTGTTTTTTCTTTTCTTTTGTGTTACTAATTCATTTGACTGTTCTTTGTTACAAGTTTTGATTAATTTCATTTTATCTTTCCCTTATTTGTCAGAACTCTTAATTTTCTAAAAAAACATCCATCATCAATAGCATTAACACTTGACATGCTTCTTATGTTTTACTTGTTTCAATTCCTTAATTTTTTTGCAACCTTCCCTTTTTTATCTCAATAACTTCACAGCTGCTACTTGGTAACTCTCCACTTCTCCATAACTTCTCTCTCACACTTTCTCTTATTAGAGTAATAAACTTTTGAGTTCTTTAGCTTCTCCAAATTCATTGCTCAAAAAATTGTCTCTCAAGTAATAAGTCTTATTTTTCTATTTGTAAACTACTCTTGTTTTCATTATTGAATTTTATCTCTCAAGGATTATATATTTTTGTCGTTTTAAGAGTTCTATGGGAGGATGATGAAGAAAAGAGACTCTTATCGCTTTAGTCTATTTAGTTATGTCTGAGATTCTAAAGTCATCACTATATAGGTTTAGTTTCATGGGAGATTTCCTACAATGAATAGAAATAGTGATCCTCTCGATGGCGAACCTGAAACAACCAAAAGAGATTAGGAAAAGGGTCGGGTGAACACCCAGTTTATCCTTTCCGAAACTTAAGTCAGTAGATGTTTGAAGACTTTAACACAATATTTTTGATTTCTTAGTTTAGTTTTTGCGTACCTTTGTTCATGTTTCTAAGAAGTGTTTATACTTGTATCAGCAATGGGTGCAATGNGAGACTTTAACACAATATTTTTGATTTCTTAGTTTAGTTTTTGCATACCTTTGTTCATGTTTCTAAGAAGTGTTTATACTTGTATCAGCAATGGGTGCAATGGTCTTGAGTCCCATCACGACATTTAATCATTTGCACTCTTCTCTGCACGTAATGAGTGTTCTATACTCAAATTCTCGTGAGTATTCAATGCTCGGGTGATAAGACAAGAGCTCGGGGGCACGGTGAGCACTTATGGCTATCCCCGGACACTCAAGTTCCTCTGATCGACACCTAACACCTATTTCCAAATGTTTAACGCTCGGGATATACTGCCTCAGGGTTTGCCGAGGACATATGGTCAGGACAACGACCATTAATGCTTTGCAATTAAGACTGTCAATTTAGGGTCTCGAGGATGTAGTGGCTCATTAAGAGCTTTGTCACGTTCACTCAAGTCCTCATTAATGAGTTGTCTTATCTCTTTAAATGTTGATCTCAGCCTGTTCATTCGGCTTCTCTGAGTAGTAACTCCTCGGCGTCATATTTCAATGCCTTTTGAGTTTCATAACGGCTATCACAATTCACGTGTCGGGGGGCTGTTGGGCCACTTAAAGTCTCGTCAGTTTCAATCTCTTAAAAGGTGTCTCTCTCTCTCTCTATCTCTTTCACTATCTCTTTATGTAAATATATATACAGAAACACTTCAACACTTCAAGTCCCAGATCAAACCTAAACAAAGTAAGTTAGCTCATAAGCGACCGTTGCGAATGATGAAGGTATACCATTGATCTTAGCGAGAGAGCAAGAAAGTCCCTGTCTTCCTTGTTTTTTTATCTTTTTTTTATTTTTTTTATTTAAAAAGTTGTGGATGTCTAGATTAACAAACTCACAACCATGACTCACAATGGTCCACGTGCAACGCACGTTTACATTAACTAGTATATTAAATAGTACACAAAAATCAGAACAAATACATGTTATATTAATAGATGATCAACATAAATATTAACTAGTCAATATTTGAAAACTAGTGCATAGCTTATACACTCGCTGCATTATTATTCACAGGACGTCTTTCCCCCCGCCATAGACGAGCAAACTGTGGCAATTTCAGTATCAGCCAAGACTATAAGCGAAGAGTGCGAAGCAATCCAACAAACACACACAGCCCAAACCAAACCAATGTAAAAAGATCATCAACATCTTTTTCTGCATCTCCGGGGAGGATTATCACCATTGAGAATAGATAAGTGACTGTTATAGTTCCAACTGTTATATTCATTGTAACCACTAGTAGCCACATGATAAACTTGTTATGTAGCGGAAATCCGCTTAACAACAAAAGTAGAATACCCAGTGATGCTATGAGACACACTGTGTTGCTTTTTCAGAAACGATTGAATAGTTCAGGTTATAGTGTGCCTATAATTGAACTACCTGCCTCATGTTAATCATTAGATTGTTGCCAAACATCCCTGGTGGGTTCACTCCAGCTTGGAAAGCCAAAGTTGTTGTCACAGTTGCTATCACCATCAAGTTCCCACGTGCCTGTTTCAATCCCTTGTTATCGTAGCAGAGTTTCTCCATCCAAACCAATGCCTTTGATAGCAATGCTCCACAGCGAGTTTGAGAAATGCTCTGTGATGATGCCCTTGCTCCAGTATTTGTTGCGAGATTCAGTACAGATGCTGGGGGGAAATCAGGTTGAAGTTCCCTGGCTCTTCGAACGCCAGCCTCCAACATAATATCTCGGATTTCCATACTTTTTAAGTCTCTAGGACAGAGCTCTAGGACATCCAAAGCTGTAAAACCATTCCCATTCGTGGAATTTGCCTTCTCAATGACACCCGTTTTCGAGAGCAAGAATTTTATGGTCTGCACAAAGCATCATCATCAAGGGGAAAACATATTAGAATTGTATGCTCTGCTCCCTTACTGACTGATACATCCCATAAGCGACCTTTCGAATGGAATGCAAAAAAAAAAAAAAAAGGGGCCTTAATATATGTATGTACCTCCTCCTGTTTGAGGATTGCAGCAAGATGCAAGATGGTGTTGCCATTGTTGTCCTTGGAGTTGACAAACTCCATATCATCGATCGGCAATTCCACCACTGACATCAAAGCCTTCAAACGACTATGTTTAACACACAAATGCANCTCAGCAATTCCACCACTGACATCAAAGCCTTCAAACGACTGTGTTTAACACACAAATGCAAAATAGTCTCCCCTTGGTCTACCTTCACCCTAGTGGACTCAGGGCAGGCTTGAACCAGATGTGGTATAACCTCGTGTCGCCCTTTCGTTGCAGCTAAGNGGTCTAGCTTCACCCTAGTGGACTCGGGGCAGGCTTGAACCAGATGTGGTATAACCTCGTGTCGCCCTTTCGTTGCAGCTAAGTGTAGAGGGATTCTCCCATCTTGATCACGAATGTAGCAAACATCCGCAGCATTCACGCGTAACAGCTCACATACAATCTGTGTGTGGCCCTCAGCAGAAGCCAAGTGAAGAGGTGAACGCCCAAATGAGTCTAACTCGGTAGCGAGTTTGGGCTTTCGATTCAAAAGCTCTCGTGTGAGATCAGAGTGGCCACGCAAGGCTGCTATGTGTAAAGGAGTTTCCCCCATCCAAGTAAGTGAGACTCTATCCAGAATGAGTTCATCTTCTTTCATCAAAGCTTCTAAAGAGGGTACACTACCACTAAGTGCTGCTTCGTAAAGCCTTCTCTCCATTGAAATTAAGAAACACAAAATGATAAAGAGAAAAGGAGGAGGAATTTTTTATTTATCTCTCATCTGCACACAATAGCTTGCATGTACATTTATACAAGAATTTAGTCACATCGTCCAACAAATTCAACAATTTGCCAGCGGTAGTCAATAACAAGGAGAGTAAGGTGTTGTTTGATAAAATTAAAAGTTGAAAATTAAAAATTAAATGTTAAATTTTAAGCGCTAAATGCTGAATTTTTTAAATCACAAACTATTTCGTATCATTGAAATTTAAGTATTTAATATAATCAAACTATTTGACAAATATAAAGTGATGAAATGTGAAAAGTATTATGATTTTAATTTTGTCATTTTTTTTAACCATCTCATCGCAACTATCATATTCTATCACTACCGTCACAATAGTGGTAGCGACGGTGGTGGTGATGATAGCAGCACAATGATGGTGGTGCCTAGTGGGTACCTCCTCCATAGGAAATGTTCACTTATATGGCAGGGGGGAAGACGACTCTCTTCCGATGTGGAATTGTCTTAGGAAAGGGTCTTATTGGCGAAGAGAGGTAAAAGCTACTGAGGCTCGATGCCGCCAGATCAACCGGAATCCTTCAAGTGGAGGGATAAGATCTGTAGCGATTTCTACCCCTTACAAAAGTAGGTACCTCCTCCTTTGAGTGCAANAATGTGGAATTGTCTTAGGAAAGGGTCTTATTGGCAAAGAGAGGTAAAGGCTACTAAGACTCGGTGCCGCCAGATCAACCGGAATCCTTCAAGTGGAGGGATGAGATCTGTAGCGATTTCTACCCCTTACAAAAGTAGGTACCTCCTCCTTTGAGTGCAAATGCTTATATGCGAGGGGGAAAGACGACTCTCTTCTGATGTAAAATTGTTTTAGGAAAAGGTCCTATTGGCGAAGAGAGATAAAAGCTACTGGGGCTCGGTGCCGCCAAGTCAGCCGGAATCCTTCAAGTGAAGGGANCGATATGAAATTGCTTTAGGAAAGGATCCTATTGGCGAAGAGAGATAAAAACTACTAGGGCTCGGTGCCGCCAAGTCAGCCGGAATCCTTCAAGTGAAGGGATGAGATCCGTAGCAATTTTTACCCCTTACAAAACTCAAAACTCAAGGGATTTTAGTATAATCCTTATTGTGTGTGTTTGTGCATGTATACAAGTACAAAACCTTTCAAGAATATACTGTTGGAGGTAAGTGGATCAGCGATGGCCTCGTATCAAATTTTTTTTTCCAAAGTCATGTTCCAATGGCCCTTTCGGTCATGTAACAATTGAATACNAATGCATGCATGCCTCGTATCAAATTTTTTTTTTCCAAAGTCATGTTCCAATGGCCCTTTCGGTCATGTAACAATTGAATACAAAGGACATCATGAATTTCAAACCGTTGTAGTTTTCAATCATTTCGTGGCACCAAGTGTGGTTGAAACATCTACAAAGAATTAAAAGAATGAAAAGAAAACCTAATTTTTTATTCAACCTCATACCAAACAAAGAAAAATTCAAACTTTTACTCATCTTCCACAGAAGCAACAAAATACAACTATCAAAGACTACCAAAAGAAGAACTATACTCGCAATGACGCAATTAGAAATTATTATGAAAGATGGCATTTGAAGCTTTTCTATTGAACATGACTCTTGTAATATGTATACAATATACAAGGTACCATCTTTTTTCGAGAACCGCCTACACAAGGAATTACTCCCCTATCTTCCCTTTTTTCTTATTTTTCTCTCCTGTTTTATCTCCAATTCAAGTGAACAAAGTCATGGAGAAATTGCCACCCAATGCTGATGGGGATATTATATACACCCCAAGTATGTATACAAAATTTTTCGTAATATCAGATCAATCCCTGGAAATCGTACCTCTCTTGAGCTTTCCTTTCATCTCCTATCCACTAGCACTTGAACAAGGACAACCATTTTGGGGACAATTTTGTTGCCTTTTAACCTCTGGATGCTATTTCCATTCTGTGTTTGGGAAACTCCACCTTATCCTATTTACAATAAGCCAGCCAGACTTTTTACAAGTCATAGTAAGGTGTAGTATACTCCATGTTTAGTAATTTCCATCTCCCACAGGATTGATCATCAAGTCATAGTAAGGTGTAGAATTCCATTATGTTTAGTCCCTTGAATATTGCATAAGCTCGAACCACTGTTTTGAATACATGAAAGGTTACGATCAGTTCATAAGAACACCTACAAAAAGGAAGCACACGAGACAAATGTCCACAGGATAAAAACTTACTTGCCGCAGTAGATCAGCAAGGGTTCTGGGAAGTGCTTCTATGTTCTTCAGCACAACATAATATGGGAATGGGAACGAGTCTAGATACTTGGAAAATTTAACATTTCCACCTTGAAATGATGCTTCCTGGAGGCAATGAGCATGTCAAGATTATGTGTCATCAGAGAATTGGTTGTTCAAAGCTAAGAAAACCAAAACTAATTCTAAGATATAAAGAGTTACCATGAGGTCCATTATGGATTCCTGTGGGCTATCCAGCAGCAGAAATGCGACCATACGCTTGTTACTCAAGATATTTCGAACACACCGTTTCAGATTTTCCTGCGATAGTAGAGTAGTAGAGAAGAGAAAAAGGGGATTAGTTCAGATGATCTCGAGAGGCTGTAGCATAGACTCCAATCCCTGCTGACAGCAAAGGTACCTTTTCATGGAATCGACCATCAGCAATGATCAAGACAAGCTGCTGTAGGGGATTGTGTCCAGATGGGAGTCGTGCATTTGCTACTGCAGCATCCAACATGTCTTTCAAATATTTCAACAGGTCAATCATAGGTTCGTCTGCTATAGTATTCTCTTGCTTAAATGTCAAACTAGAGATCATCTGTACCGGTAAAAAACATGTGTCAAACACAACTATGGAAGAAATTTTATGATTCTCTGTAAACCAGGCTACAAAATAGAGGGGTTTGGGGGGCATCTTTTTATCTTTTAGTCGCTCTTGCATAAGTAGAGATAGCCTTTTAGTCACTCTGGCATAAGTAAAGATAGCAGAGCCCATTGAGAACGTTAACCTTAATCCCAGCCTCTCCGGTGAATGGCTGATCAAAGTCATGCAGTAATTTAATGTTTCCCTTCTTCCCAAAGCTTGCAACAGCCAAGTTCCCAACTTCCAACTGAGACATTGCACGACATACTGTGACCAAAGCTTCAACAGCAACATCTCCACAACAACTCTCCGACATGCTGCGGGAATCATCCACTGCAATGATCACTTGGTAATCGCGTTTGTTGGGCCGGGTCCGCCTCAGCCAGATCTTATCTTTTCGATAATGACTTGCAATGTATGAAATAACCTGGCAAATTAAAAATTGCATATCTCAATCCATAAACAACCACACGATGTTTTTAACCAAAAATGGGAATTAAATATTTTCTTTTTACCTTCTTCATGTTAATCCTTTTGCCAGTCCTGTAATCTCCCTGGAGCTTGCTAGCTAGAGTGGGTTCCATGACAAGGCGTAACTGTTCAGCCAACTCCTGAGACAACCTTGTAGTCAGCAGTTCATATTTTCTCCAGAGAGTAGTAGCATAATCTTTCTTATTGCTGGACATGTCCTCAATATTACTGGCTTTCCCCAGCTCGTCATTACTCTCAAAAAGTTCACCACCCTGATGGAAGCCATCACTCATGTCAGGTTTCTTAAGAGACACCAAACTGTCTGAAATACTTCCCAGATCACCATCATGATGGTGATAGAATTCTGGGGATCCCTCTGGTTGCTTCTCTAAGTCTGACATTTCCGTCTGTGCCTCAATCTTGTTTCCAGTATTTAAGGCATAACTCCTACTGGGATGTGCTTCAGAATGTTGCTGTTCAGTGTCCATTTCGCTATGGTCTTTTCTGTCTGCAGTTATACCATCTCCATCGAGATCATTTAGATTGATATTCCTATCAATCTGGTCAGAGGCTGCGGGTCCCAATGCCTGAGAAGCTCCCTTTTCCAACTTAGAGGTAAATCCATACTCATCCGCATTCTCATCCATCATATCATCCGGAACCGCCACATTGTTTTCCTGAAGATCAACAGACACTTTGACTCTTTCTTTCCAGCCTTCTAGTGCATCCCCAACATTACGACATGGGTTTGGTTGAATTTTCTGAAGAGATGAAGAATCAAGTTGAGACAACTGTGGTCTGGATTGGTGTTCACTTAATTTCCCACCTTCCGATGCAATTGCGATTTCTATTTCAGCAGCATTTGGTAAGCCGCTCATGGGAGCGAGGTTATTTTGAATATCATTGCAATTAGACCATTTAGCATCAGGTGCAACATTTTCCACATCTGCAGCGAGCGAGTCACTTCCCGGTTGTGTTGCAGATTCTGCATTTGGCACATTATCACTAACTAAATTGGAAGTACCTGGCTCAAACATATCTTTCTTTATCTTTTCGTGATTATTCTCCAGGCCTTCTCTCTCTGAATTTTCAGCAAACCGGTCAGATTCCGCCTCATCCAATATTTCATCCATCGAATTAGCCTTCTCTTCATCACCATTCTTACCCTCATCAGACTGATCAAGCTCTTCTGAGCCGGCATCTTCCATGGGATCAGCGCGTTCTATTTCATCCATGTCAATATCTTCTTCACAACCTTGATCTGGCTTGTTAAGCTCTATTCCTGTGGGATCTGAAAACCCATCTTCTTTGTCAACGTTCATATCTTCAATATCATCTGTACCGTCAGGACCGTCTTCATTTCCATTTGCATCATTTTGTTTATCAGATCCATCACGATCGAGCTCTCCAACTTCATTGGCAGAAGTGGCAGAATCTTCTTTAGCTCTAAGCTCTCTACCACTAGAATCTTTGTCTTTGACTGACGGCCCAGACTCGTACTTCTCCTTTGTGCTGCTGGGATTTTCATCATCATCCTTATCCCATAGTTTTTCATCAACAATTTCACTGNACTAAGCTCTCTACCACTAGAATCTTTGTCTTTGACTGACGGCCCAGACTCGTACTTCTCCTTTGTCCTGCTGGGATTTTCATCATCATCCTTATCCCATAGTTTTTCATCAACAATTTCACTGTCAACCCCAGTATCGCCCATTGCAGACTCCAGTTGCTCATCCTGACCATCATTGCTGTCATCATCTCCAGATTCCTCGCTGACACTAAACGTTTCAGCAGCAAAATCCTCCTCCATCTCTATTCCCTTATCAGTTTTACTTGGAACATCAGGTAAGGTATCTTGTTCTTCATTAGGCTGCAGAAGCAACACACAGGGAAAAATATTTCAAACCATGTACTTGATACATGCTAGAAATAGAAATTCATTTTAATATGTGATCCAAGCTGTGAGTCCATACCTTTTCAGTAATCCCAAGAAGCTGATCTTCGTCACTTATTTGATCGCTGACATCATTTAGTCCTGCACCCTCACCCATACCTGTTCCCTTTGCATCTTGAGTGTCGTGGCCAGTTTCATCCATTTGGTCTTCTGTAGAAATTCCAAATCCTTTTGAATATAGTGAAGCAAAAATGTTCGCAAGGGCGTGACTCATTATAGATACCTGCATGAAAGGTAGAAAGATGTTTCTGATTCAAAAAAATCGAAGCAGAACAAATGATTATGTTTTGTAAAAAAATGGAACAACTCTTTACCATGATGACAATACTCAAGGAAAAGATTTTGTTTCCTTTCTGGGAGTGCAGTCATGGCGATGATGATTTTTATCTTTCTTGGTTTCTTTCATTTCCGTACTCAGGTTTGCTTTAGAGCTATGAAGCATGGACACTCCTCCAACACTCTCAGACACTTGTATGATACTCTTTTATTCGTGTCCATAATTAAATTATAAAATTTTAATTTTGGACACATGTCCGACACTTCTTTGGTGACGTGTCCGACACTTGCTTAGACTAAACAATAACCATGTGTTGACATTGACAAGTGATTAACAAAACTTATAAATTTGATTAAGAAGTGTCCTATATTATGAGAGAACATGTAATTACCAAGACTAGACATGTTAAAGTTATACTCAAAATATAACAATAACAATAAAAGATGCATAAAAGTTCTAAAAAAGAAGAATTGAGAATATAAGATCAATCATTTCAATTATATATGCTGGTACATGTTGCCTGCAACAAAATTGATGATTATTGACTATTATGATGCTTTAGTCTAAAAAATCACACATAACTAAAGATAGCATTATATCATTATCACTATATTTGCGATAAATTGTATAATTATATATAAAACAAAATTATGTATAATATGTCCTCAACGTATCCATGTCTTACTTTTTTGAGAAATGTCATGTGCCCATGCCCGTGCTTCTTAGATTTAGAGAATTAGGTCACATTAATTTAACGCTATGTAACACCAAACAAAATTTCAAAATATGAATTAAGTTAGGCAAACAAACTTACCGTTCTATGCATAACCAAAAAATCATGGAGAAGAGCATTGCTGTAGGTCAAAATTAGGTCCAATAGCGAATACAGATGCTTCAAGTGGCTTCCAACAAGAAAACATAGACTGGGATTTGCACTACCGTAATGATTCACCAAGTCGACCTAGGTAAAGTAGATCAGATGAGAGTGCATACTGGAATGAAGAAAAAATCCTCATAAAACACATCTTACAAAAACAGACGATGATAAAACTTACTGCAAATTGAATTGTGTTGCCTAGTTCATCACATATAAGGCTCAAACGCAGATTTGCTGCATTTGATTCAAATAGCACTTTCCACATACTTATATTCACCAATGAATCATTAGAAAAAACACAATCATTTTTCAATGACCCAACACTACGNAACTTTCCACATACTCATATTCACCAATGAATCATTAGAAAAAACACAATCATTTTTCAATGATCCAACACTACGGAATGCGTCCACAATATGTTTATATGTCTTCTCGAGGGCTTCACCANCACTTTCCACATACTTATATTCACCAATGAATCATTAGAAAAAACACAATCATTTTTCAATGACCCAACACTACGGAATGCGTCCACAATATGTTTATATGTCTTCTCGAGGGCTTCACCAAATCCAGCTTCAAGTTCAGAAACTTTTTCTCCACAATTATTTGAAACTTCAACCTTAGTTTCCAATTGATTTTTTTCTTGTACAGCAGAATTATACTCTTCAGCAAATAACTTATTCTGAAAAAGTTCAAAAAAATTGATTGAGTGCAACCATCATTCAGTACTTTAGTATTATTGGAAATGGTCAAATACGTTCTCAGATATACATAGATACTTCTCAGATATAGATAGATACCTTCTCAAATATATCCTCAAAATGAGCAAGCAGGGCCTCCTTAACTGATCCTTCATCCAGATCTTGCTTGCAGAAAGCACGGAGATTCTGCTCAAACTCCCTTATAAATTGAAAGTTTTGGTATATCAACTGTTCCATTTGTTTCGTTATGCCAAAAGGACATAACAAAGCTCCCATGGTGGTTATAACTCTATCACGGCCAAGGAGATAATTATCCAGCAAATCCTGTTAAGCAATTTCCATAAGACGAGCATTCAAATAGAGCTGAAATACTGAGACCAAAATAATAATTAATGATATGAGTACCTTAGATTTCTGAAAATCTGGAACAAACTTCTCGATAAAAAGACGAAACCGCTTTGCTGCTGCTTCAACATTTTGACAAGTGTTCAAATGGTTATTTTCTATTTTTTTAAGCAGCAAACTTCCATCATGCAACATGGCACAGACACTATCAAAGAGTTGCTGCAATAATAAAAAGAAAAGTAAGAATCGCCATCTAAAGCTTACAAAATTACGGGAAAGTTTATCCCTATACAGCAAATGCAATTCTCAGGTAGATGTGTACCTTTTGTTTCCACATGCACTCAAAACTGACGTGTTGGTTTTGGATAAAAAAGCTCTCACTACTAGATTCACAAGAGGAAATGGAGTTTGAAAATAAGTTTTCTAAGGGAAATATACATTTCCTCAAACCATTCAGCTGCTCAGAAAAATCATAGGCAGCAGCTCGTTGCTCTTGTTGTATTGAAATGAGATGGTCAAGATAAGAACCTGACCTATTAACCTACAAAAGAGAGAACATAATTTTTACATGTCAAGTGCACTTACAAAGATTGTCACGAGAACAGTTCCACATATGCATATGATGGGATAAGTAGCTGGAGTGTTCAGGCGAACTGGGCGACATGATGTCGAATGGTCAAGCTCACCCTGGAGTTGCCGCTAATAATGTTATGCCGGACTTTAATTTGTTCAAAACAAATCAGTTTTTTGACCTCAAAAGTTGAAAATAAAAAGCAATTGGTTCCAAACCTCCCTTTTGGAAACTATGTCCAAGCTTAAAAGTTAGTTGTTAACAAAAAAAAATGTTTCTCTGCAAACAAGACTATGTTAAAAAAATTACAATATAGAAATTCTAGCACAAAACGAAACCAGGAAGGAAACATGATAGTCACTGTTAGAGGCATGCGACCCAAAACCATTTGTAATGAGTGGACAGGCTCACAAGACTTGNTACAATATAGAAATTCTAGCACAAATCGAAACCAGGAAGGAAACATGATAGTCACCGTTAGAGGCATGCGACCCAAAACCATTTGTAATGAGTGGACAGGCTCACAAGACTTGTACAATAGTTAAGGAGGCGCAGGAACAAACTCAAACAGTCTCATGTACAATTTTTGAAAATCTTTGCAGCTCCAGCATCAGGTCGTGCACAACCAGATTAGTAACTGAACCAAATCTGAAATTAGAATCCATTTATAGAGGAACTACCTGTTCAAGAGTAAAATCCTTGTGGAAGTTCAAGCAAATCTGCCGCAGAAGGTGTACTGATGCCATGCTCTTGAAATAGTACTCATTTGCTGCTTTCCATTCACTTCTAAAACTTTCATGGTATGCATTCTGAAACTGGCTCAAGGCAGCAACATTACCATCCCCATTGGACAGTCTGCCTTGTGTCAGCAGCAAATGCTGCACATCATAGGATGGCTGAAGGAGCCACCAACTAGATTGGTTGATTCCGAACTGTTCCTATATGATACAGGCCATCAGGGGGAAAACTACCATAGAAATAAAACGTAATAGCTTCCAAATATAAAGCCACGAGCCTTAGCATTCCAAGTGCTAGAAATACCGCTCTTACTCCCGCATTGAAAGAGTAAATATACCTCCAAGAATGTAGACCGATGCTTAGATAATCCACAGTTATCCAACAGCTTTAGAAGGACAGACAAAGCCCTCCTCTTCCCAAAACTCTTCTTTTCATCCTTCCAGAGTTCACCACAGTCAATTGCAGTTCTGCATATCTTTTCAATTGTATGCCACACCTGATTGCTTTCTTCCTGGTATACAAGGTGCGAAGACTGGGACAATATGCAATCCCTGAAGATACTAGCAACTTCTGCACAAGTTGTGAGCCTTTCAGAATAAAATTATATGGACATGGAGATCTTCCAAAATTTGGACTGCGAAGTTAGTGAGGTAAAAAAAAGAACCTTCGTCTATAGAGTAATTGGACGAGATCCCAAACTCAGTGATAGGCCTTCCAAGGTGCAAGTTCTGCAAAACCAAATATACTTTCTTCTTCCAATCAGCAAACCACACAGACCTGACAGGGAACATGAGAAACTTTAGAAACATATACTAACAGAAGGTTGAAAATAAGGTTACTCCAGAATATGGAAAAAAGCTTTACATGTGTGTATCTCTGAACTGAGTTTCACTGCATGCAACATCAAGCATGTGCCCGTTTCTGTCATAAGAAACAGACAGGGGATTTGGACCTTGTACAGATTGAGTTTTTATCCCCATTCGTGCTGCTTCTTGGTTGAACATAAGCATTACAGGCTGCTGCAGTAGATCCTGCCCCAAAAACAGTCAATAAGAAAATCATCGTCACCATTATTTGTCAGCAATAGAGCTGGCAAAAAAATAGAGAATTCATGTGGTAAACAACTTTCCGCATCCTTGTGGCACAGCACAGGCATTTGGAGCCACAATTTTGAGGCCCTCCAATATTTTATAATGTTTATATTAGGCCTGGTAAAATGCAACATCACCCGATTACCCGACACGAATCGACACAAAATTAGCATGTTCGGGTTCAACCTTAATGGGTTTGGGTGATAAACAGGTGGACCANGTTTATATTAGGCCTGGTAAAATGCAACATCACCCGATTACCCGACACGAATCGACAGAAAATTAGCATGTTCGGGTTCAACCTTAATGGGTTTGGGTGATAAACAGGTGGACCAGCCAGCCCGGATTGACACCCCTAGTTTATCTGCCAGAAATGCATGAGCTTACACAGATCGAAAAGGAAGAGAGAATGGTAAGCATATGAAAGTGAACACCCCTCTTACTCCCTTGCTTTCATAAGAAAAAAATTGTCAATGTGTCGAATTACAACAGTATCCTATTATACACAAGCAAATAAGATTTGGTAATGTGATTTTGAGAAATAATGTTGGAGCATTAAGAGCAGCGATAAAAATGATAAAAGGTGAAGAACAAAATGCTTTTTAATAGATATATCTATCTAATATTATAACTAAAAAGTTAAATTCTCAACTTATAAAACCACAACAACAGTCTTTGATGGTACAAAATTCATCTCAAAAGTGTTTTTCCCATTCAAAGACATCATCTTTTTCGCATTGCCCCCAATATCCGACAACTCAACTAACACATTCTCCAATGCCAAACAACTCTCTAATCCACAACTATCCCTCTCCTTTCTCCCCTAACCTCTCTTATTTTTGTTTCTATTCACTTTCATTTTAAATTGCATAATTAAACATAAATAAATTGCATCTAAAATATAAACAATGTAGATTAATGCTCAATTTTTGGTATTGCAAAGTGACTTCAGTCACGGGGTTCGGGGTTATTGCTAGTATTATACTAGTA